GAAAAGCAGATTAGATATTCATTTATCATCCATTTTATTCTCTTCCGATATCTTAGCCAGGTTTCTAGGTACGTGGGCGCACGATTAACAGCTCATAGGGACAGTTACATCAGATCCTGCACGCTGTTAAATGAGAATAACAACGTGTACTCTATTTAGAACTCATATGTAGTCTCCCACTTCTACAGCTTCTTTAAATGATTCACCGTGTACATTATATAAAAGGATGAGGAGAGAAAAAAAGGTGATAGCAGTCCACCGCAGGTAGGAGGAGAACGTGTAAATTCAGCTCTGTGCTGGGGCTGCAACTAACCTGCAGCCATACATACAGAGATTGAGACAACGTGGGCTGAATTCTCTGAAATACAGCCACTAAAGCTGTCTGGGTAGATTTCCCTACAGCCACCATTTGTTGACAGGGAAACTCGACCAATTTGTATACATGTTTAAGTTCAGTTTTCAGCTACGGTTAGGTTTTGTTTATGAGGTTTTCTGTGGCTCCAGAGGCAGCGCTCAAACATCTGAAAAGAAAACCTGCTGATGTCATAGTGATGTTATCAGGGTTACCTCCGCTACGGTTGGCTACCGCAAAAAGTATAACAATTTGTTACAAACTGGAGCTGTACATTTCTTTAGTGGGGTATTTACCATTTACCAGGCAAAAAAGAATCTAACCAAAGTTGTGTTGCATTATGGGAATTGAGGATCTAGTTTTTCTGGATCTTAACCCATACTAGGGACTAACTGTCAGGATATCCCAACCTTTGCTACTAATCATGATTCAATCATTTGTATCCTGTCTCTTGTGAGTCCCTCAACTTTATGAGAGTGCAATGCTAATGTTTCTGAAGTTACTTTGATTTCAGCTGTTCTTGTGTGTCGGATAAACATGAATAAGAACCATGCTATGCAGGAACTTTGCAATATTCATGCACTGCTGCTTTTAGATTCCAAAGTCAATTTTTGAGACTCAGAATCCAACCATCTGAGAGGAACTGTGCCGTTGAATATCCTTAATACGTTTTTAATCTCTGCACTCCATTAACTCGGAGGGTGATGTGAGGAGAGAAGACTTAGACTACATTTAAAAACAGATAATATGACCATAAAGAATAACTGCTTCTGAGTCAGCCTCTCACCGTCAAACCTGCGGTGTCTCTGGGTAAAAGTAGTCAAAAGGAACTGGCTGTTCTCCTCGACGGCTTTTAAGAAATCCCTCTCGCTCTGCAGGGCCAGCGTTTCCTCCATCTGACTGGAGCAGCAGGTGTAGTCTTGAGGACAGAGCCGCAGGTGCTCACCTAAGGCCAGGGAAGAAGGTCAAAACATAAGTGGAGAAAATGAATTTGGCTTAGACATAAGATATTCTATTGTTGTGTTTCTGTAAGGCACTTTGGGCTGCATTTATGTCTAAAAGCTGCTATTAAAAAAAAGTCATAATTAACATTTTAATGAAAACAAAGCCCTTTTTTCAATAACATCAGTAGGTCTTTTATCAGGTTAAAGCAGATGTTTTTATTGGAAAACCAAATTCCTCCAATCATCAGTCTGTTCAGTTACTGAGGGGAAATCCTATCAAAGATAAGGATGTGATAGATAATTTTAATTTCCCTGCATGAATTATTCAGCTTCAATCTGTCTTTCTTTGTCAACTCAGGTTGGCTCTTTGATATGTCAGAGGTAATGATATGCAAACGACAAGCAGGGGAGACAGACAGACAAAAAAAAAAAAAACAGAGCTCTGAATGTGGAAAAGGTTTGAATTCTTTGTCTGTATAATTTAACATCTAACATGAATATTGCTGCTGTTAATACAGGGGAAAGTCTCCCAACTCCACCCTCGCTGATGTTCCCTTCTGCCTCTTTTGTTCTCTCTGTGTGTCTCACTATTAGCCCCTCTCTCATCCCTCTATTTCCATTTCTAAACTGCCTCTCTTCCTCCTTCGCTCTCCCGGCCATCTGCTCCCCTGGCCCACGGGACAGGGAGCCAAGACTCAGGCAGAGATAACACACACACACTCACACACTCAATCAATATTGCAGTTGTCTCACTGACTCACACACACACAGATAAATTGCCACAAAATAAATCCTCACACACCAGAGATCCACTGTTTTGCATAACTACAATTTACTCATACATTTGACAATTGATTTAGGGAAAGCTCCAAGTCTGTCTAAGGGTAAAACACACACACAATGTTATTCTCTCACTGATTTAAATGCAAGGCTAAACTTCCAAGAGGTAGACACATCTTTAGCCACTCATGTTCTCCAACATTTGATCCCTCACTTGGTCAGACATCAATATTTAACCAAATGTTCCCTTACTTCCCATCTTTCCTGTATCCCTGCCTCTAACCAAAACTTTAAATTATACAAAACCCACATATATTAATCCACGTGATATGGTTCAATTTAGCAGATAAGATTATCTCCAGTACACAGAGCCTAAGGGTATATGCAGGGATTTAACATTGGCCCAGTAGGCAAAGACTAATTAGGGGCGAGGTTCTTTGTTGCACCGGTGTTGGCAAATTGCTCATCCCCTTAATCATCCTATTTAAACAGCACCAGGGGGAGGAGGGGGCGGGTGTAATTTGTTTTAAACCACGCGGTATTGTTTCTCTGGAGGAAACCTCACCATTGATATTCCCACATTATGTCTCTGGTGGATATAAGTGAGTTGTGTGCAACCTTGTACTTTTAGATATTACTTTTCTATCGTGACTTTAGATATTTTATTTAAAGATAACCTAGTTTTTTGCTATAATGTTCCCATGATAAATAATTTGTGATGGTGAGCAGCGAGTTCATAGTGACCTGGATGTGCATAATGGTGTTTGTATGCATGTCATGACAAACAAGGGCATTTTGCTGCGACATGTACCTTACATTTGAATCAAAACTTGAATCAGTCACTTATTTTGTTATGGATCATGGGACGGTTCTGCATGAGCCTCTTATCTAAAAGTGTGTTATTCATCCCACTGCAGGGTAGATGCAGTCTTACCGGAGATTTGAGTCACCGGAGCGGTCCCGGTGCTGTAGCCCTTCTCCGCGTACACCTGCCGGGTGTCGGCGCAGCTCCTCCCGGCAGAAGCCACGGGACTCCGGCTCCCCGACAGCGAACACACCGCACACAGAAGCACCAGAAGCGGGTACCTGGAGGAAGAAGAGCGGGTATCCATCTTCACCGCAGGACGTAGAAAAAGATAGCAGGGGAGGGCGGCTTTAAATAAAACCAGACGGGTGCAGCACCTTTTAAAAATGAATGAATGAATGGGCGGTTTGGATGCACGCAAAAGTAAAACAGTATCCCAAATCCTCAGTCGTTTAAAAGAGTCATAGTTTTCCCCGATAAGTGCAATAACAGATGCATCCGGGCTGGGTTTTACATCACACATATGTCTCCATGCACCGTGTCCAGTTAATTTACAGTCCTTCCTGGGAGATCCTCTGTTGTACGTAAATGTAAAGGGTGTGTGAATGGGGCACTCCCGTCGCTCAGACTCATCCAGCTCACTCTGTCAAGAGGGCAGGGCTGGCACCACGATACCGGAAAAGGGCCTGTTTTCAAAATAAAAAGCTATTTTAATGTTTTTTTACAAGGTTTTTTTTTTATGCCATACAACAACATCATCATAACATGTATATTATATAAATTACATGTATTAAAAGGAATATAAACATGTTTAAAGAGTTTTAAAAAAATGACAGATATACATTTGGTGAAATTGAATTAAAAATAAAGAGAATATGTGCCATAATAAATAAATGAGCAGTCCGAAAAAAGCCTCCTAATATGTAATTTTCTATAGATTTTGCATTGAATGATTATCAACATATAATCTCAAAAATCATAAAATGATTTTCAAATAGACTTTTATTTTTGTAGAATCTAATGTGAGGCTAGGGGTGGACATTGCGACCACAGTCTACTATAGTTGTGTAAAGATAAGGCTCACCATAACCAAGTATAGTTACTATAGCCCAAGTTAATGTTTTTGTTTGGCTTTCTGTTAACTGTCCTCCTACAGACTTTCTAAAATATCAACAATTGGTCTTTTTTTTGTATTTTCTTGTATAGGAGCCATATAATAAAAGTGTTTTGCCTATGGTAATTTAAAAAAAATGCAGTAAATAGACGGTATTGAAATGGTTTCTCCTAATGGTAAACAGTTTGACACAGGTGTTGCTTGGTGACAATATAGCCCACAACAAAGCACTACTATCCAGTCCACATTTGGTCTTACAGTTCAACAGGGGGGGAAATGAAATTATAATTTAAAATATTCATTAGTAGCCTATTGTCAGTATTTTAAGTTTCGTCTGTATTTTATTTTTCTACAAAAAAAAGCAATTTTAGGCAAAGGCATTAGGCATTTTATTTTAAAGGTTCGTACCAGAAGTTGTGTGTTACTCCAGCTGGTTTGACCATGGTGGTTAAGCCTATCAAACCCAGAACAATGGACCGTGCAGAGGAGGACCAACAGGGGAGAGAGGGTGAGGAGCCCGCGGTGGAGGGGCGGCGAGCAGCTGAGACACACCTCAGGGTCCTAAAAACTGGACAAACAGACAGACAACAGACAAACACAGAGCAGACAGACTGCAAGAATATAGACAGTAAATAAAGAAACTTGTAAAAGAAATGTCCTTTAAGAGTGTAAAACCAAATTACATCCAATATTGTAAATGCGTATAATTATACTTATTTAGCAATAATTAAATACATAGTTTGATTTTATTATATCATTTTCAAATTAATTCAGTTTTTAATGACGTCCGTTGAATTTCATGGAGATAGTCACATTTACGTTACCGCCGGGTGTGTTGCCGTCTACTAAGCAGAATTACTTGTTTTGAGTGACCAATGATCATCCAGTGACCTTCTGTAGGGACCAATCACCTTCAGATCTAAGGAGGCGCTGGCCATGGCCAATCAGCAAAGATAATCACTTTGCGTACTTTTACGCGCCCTTGAATCTACTGAGGACAGAATAATTCACGCTCAATCCTCAAAGATTGGAACAAATTGATCGATTATTTAAAAAATCATTACGTAAAACGCCGTAACTAGTAAGTAATTATTCGATTAATATGTGTCGCTGTAGTAGCTAGCTGTCTACACGTCTTGGAAGCTTACCTTTTCTGTTTTGAAGCTAAGGGATCATCTGCTAATGGTCTTGTCCGTTAGAAACTCATAAAGAATAATCGGACATTTCCTTCATTAGCCAGTATATTTTTTGTCTCATTTAATTAAAGTCGGTCGACAAAAGAGATATTTAAGCTAGTTAGAATTGCGGTTGCAAGTCCTTTAACTAACTAGCTAACGTCATCTTAGCTAATGCTACGTTCATCGTTAGCTTAGCCAATGCTAGGTATTATCTACTGGGTAAGGAGTAAAGTTAGCTTACTAGTCTTGTAACCACTTTCGTATCTTCTCCCCTACAGTAACTGTCACTGACAAGTGCAAAGATCAACCTACCTGTAGATCTAAACCAATCACTGAAAATGGCAGCTGGAGACTCCTCATTTGAAAGGTAAAGACAGACACGCCTAGATGGTTCCTGCCACCTGAATGTGTTAAAAGTTTACCCACTCAATACTTTCGTGACAAAGTAAAACTTAATCAGTTTTGGATATTTAATTTAGGATATTTATCATTTATCCTGCATACATATGTTTCTAATAAGAAAATGCACACAAATGAACAGCACATGCACTGCTATAATTGAATAAAGAGTTGTTAAAGACAACATTTCTGCTTCACAGCCACAACTCAAGTATATATATCCAATTATGTTTGCTCTATATACAATAATAAAGCTTGTCATCTATAATTGCCTCATTGATAATATCCACAGACCTGACATATGAGTTCAGTTGCACTGCCCCAGCAGCATGTGTGCATCTATAACAGCTAACAAATAGCCAGTTAAAAGTGCTAGAATAAAACTATGAAAAAGTCGTTTGAAGGAACAAAGTTAAATGGAGTAAATACAATGATGATAACATATTGAGGTACACTGGGAGTCTCCTACGTTATTCTACTGTTGGCCACAGAAGCAGAGTGCTACAGTAATGTAAGGAGTACAAATACAAACTTCTGAGCTCAAATTATCAACATTTGTATCCGAATACCTGTCTGGCTTTGTATTTTTGTTAACCTTCAATATTTGTTTATGCTGGAGGAATGTATTCATTCTGTTTTTTTGTCTGTTAGTCTTGACGAGATAAACAACTTCTCAGATTCTGGCAGTGACTACGAGGCGACATTAAAATCCACAAAGCGGAAAAAACAGGCAGTGACTGGTCCAAAGGTAAATAATGTTGTTCTCTCTCAAACTACTTTACTCTCATTTACAAACCTATAGTTTACATTATTCACAATGGAGTAGATAAGGGCAAATATACATTTGTTATTTGTTATTAATTAAATTGCATCATTGTCGATTATCTTTCCGTTCTTAAAAAAAGCCTATCCAGAGTCGTAATAGCTGTGGTAAGCCTGTACCTTATCTTACCATGGCTACCACTAATTCAGTTGACAACATCAATTCACCTCAAATCCTCTCCTGAGCTGCCCTCCCTTTTCTTTCATCTAAAGCCACTCAAGAGACCCAGGGATAAAGCTGCATTGAGGGGGTCCAGCCTCAGCAGCACTAGCAGCCCCATCCCCACCCCTCCAACCCCCCCCCTGCAGCAGCAGCAGTCCCGAGGGAGATCCAAGCAGGCCTCTCCTAAACCGGTGACGAGAGAGAACAAGGGGAACCGGGGAATCAGTGCAAAGGATATCTATGATGCTGTCTGCTCTGGAAAGAGTGCCATGGTGGTGAGCAAACCCTCAGCTGAAGAGCAAAAGGGGGAAGGTGTTATAGAGATAAACACACGCAGGCAGGGATGTAGGTGCTGAAGGAGCCATGTGTAGAGAAACAAGGCTCTAAAGCAACAATGACAGAGATTATCATCTGCTGTCAGTGGCTGACTGATCTGACCCTACAGAATTAGCTTTGATACGCAAAGAGGAAGGAGTGCTTTCACTGGGATGTGTAGTCAATGATTGACAGCATGCGTCCATCCCAACCTTTGTTGTTCTGGTCCCAGTCTCTTCTGGTTAAAGACTACCAAAAAAGGATCACATAACAATAGGAACACAAAAAAGAGTGGTGAGCAGTAATACAAAGAGTCTGTCACTACAGTGTAGAAAGGCAGCACACTGCAGATGGTATTTCTAGGTGAAGACAACACATTCAGCAACTCTGCATTTCACAACATTATAGTCTGTTACGGAAAGGTTTCTCAGTTCTTTTTGACAATATTCTCCTCCCCCCTTCCTTTTTTATATATTTTTTTATTAATATTTTCAATTATTTAAATGTTACACTGACAGTGTACAAAGCAGATTCGAGTTGCAAAATGTAGTCAACTAATACATTTTCCAATCCACTGTTTTCCGCCTCTCAAATATGTAGATTTCCAGCTTTTATCTTTTTTTAAACACACATTACACTTGATATATTTGGGTTATTGACTGATATAACAAGTCCTCATCATCTTAGACTTAGAGATACTGAGATTGACATTTTTTACAAATTTCTCACATTTTATTTACCAAAAAGAATCGGTGGATTATTCAACAATACAAATAATTGTTACTTGCAGCCCTACAGCAGTTTCTTCGGTAGTGTCCATTTATTTGTATTGGTGTCACTGTTGCCAAAAAACATGAGCACAAATACAAGTGGAGAGAACTTTAGGGCATACCCACACGTGACTGAGAAATCCATAATTATATTGAATTATATATTGTTATATGATTCATCCACCCTATGATCTAAACCCAGCGTTCTCATTGGCTGCTTTCTCCTTGTCAATCTGAAGACGGTGGTGGACGAGTGGCTGGACAGCTACAAGCAGAGCCGAGAGGCGGGGCTACTGGTGCTCATCAACTTCATTGTTCAGTCCTGCGGATGCAAAGGTCAGAGGTCAAGAGGGAGCCCACGCGATGGGGGGGTTGGGAGTCAGAGTTCAGGAGATTATCTTTCCAATTTTAAGCTCAGGCAATGATCAGCACTCAACTATCGATCTCCCAATGCGGTAACGATGCTATATCTAGGTGCTGTGTTAATCCTCTGTCCATTGACAACGCAATATATCAATATTTTGTGAGAGTAAAATAAATAGAAAATAAGTCATACAGGGTTTCCCACACATAGACTTTACTTGGGCGGGCCCGCCCAGGTATATTAACGTCCGCCAAAGTATATTTCGCGACCCATTTAGGTTGAATCTTTTTTTTATCCGTCCGCGAGCACGAAGCCATCTGCAATTGATTAACTACCCCTCTTGTACCTGTTCGCTCTGCTATTGCGTGAAGGGTCTGCTTTATGCGCTCCGCAGTAACTCCGCTGCGAGGCTCCGGCAAACAGTTCGTGCAGTGTTTCCCACAGATCTGAAATATACTTTGGGTGAGGTGACGTGACGTGACGTGCAACAACAATATTATTAACATTAACCTTTCTGTTAGTCGCTTGTGAGCATACCCTTCACGCGATGGCAGAGCGAACAGGTACAGCCAGGGCCGGACCGAGACAATGTCAGGCCGGAAATTATACACCCAGCCAGGCCACTACCAGTTTCTTTTTGTGCCATTTTGCTGGATTTATTTGTCAATATTTACAGCGTTGCTGCCCATAGTGATAGCCCTATAGTTTAAATCTACTACCCACAAATAAATATATGGACATGGGTTATTATTTAAATTTTTTTTTAAATGTATTTAGGAACCTATCCATGTGATTTTAAGTGGGGGTGGACCTCAAATCCTCTAGGGGGGTCCGAGGGCATGCTCCCCCGGTAAGATTTATTTAAAAAATGTTGGAGTTAAATGCATCAATTGAGGGGGGAAATAAAGAGACTACATCTATGGGAACAGAACACCCATATGAAACAGAACTGTATACATTTCAATAATCATAAAATCATGGCCATAACCAATAACATACCATATCCAATATGAAAAAACACTGAAACTTGTTTATTTATTTTTGGTTCATTTATAGTTGTGAGTGTATCTGGGCTCCTGATTCAGCCTCACCTTAATATACCTGGGCGGCCCGCCCAAGTAAAGTCTATGTGTGGGGAACCCTGGCATGCTCCACTAGCACCCCACCCCCCTATTCTCGGCTACCACCACAAGTATATTCAAATCTGTGGGAAACACTGTCATACCATGCCATTTAATTTTTTAGGAGAACCAGAATGATTTGATTACTACCTTTTTATCTATGTTCTTGTGTTTATCTCTCTTGTGTGGAATAATTGTGTACAGGTGTGGTGAGCAGAGAGATGTTGGACAGCATGCAGAACGCTGAAATCATCAGCATGCTAACCAGAGAGTTTAATGAGGTAAGATAATTAAGATTTGTTTCAATAATTACTAGAAGATAAAGGTTATTCTCCCAGACCTGCGGGTTCAAATCTAGTTCATCATAATGTTTCTCATCCAGTCTCAACTGCAATTTGCTGAGAAATCAACAACCTCCCCAATCCCAAGGACGAGTACAGCGTGATTGAACACACCAATTAAAATCTCATGCTGATAAATGGACACATTGATGAGTTAATTACTCCGGTTTGCCACTGAATTGTCATTATAGCAAACCTCTGCCTCAAAGAACTATGGTGAGAAAAGTGTAAGATATTTTCGCTTTCTGTTTTTTCTGTCTTCCTCCAGGACTCAGTGAACTACCCTCTGTGTACTCCAGGCCCTGAGATGAGGCGTTTCAAAGCCAGCCTGTGTGAGTTTACTCGGGTTCTGGTGCGCTCCTGTAGGAACAGCCTTATTTTTGACGAGTACCTGTTCCCCACCCTGCTGGCTCTGCTCACCGGCCTGTCCGACTCGCAGGTCAGAGCCTTCAGACACACCAGCACCCTGCTCGGTAAGTACATCTGTACAGTAATGGTGCATAAAACCAGGGTGTCCGCGGGGTCTTAAAAAGTATTAAAAGTTGATAAATCAATTTAGCGAAATTAAGGCTATTAAAAAGTATTAAACGTCATTTTCCAAGGTATTACATTTTGTAGCTTGTTTTCAATAAGTATATAGATTGTCCAAAGAGGTTGTATTCTACAGTTTGCCTGAATGTAATCATTGCGTAGGTGTGTAGTGTGATTCTGTGTAGTTTATTTATGGCATCCCGTTGGATTTGACGTCATCTGAACAGGACATCGCACGCTCACTGCTTGATAGCGCGCGCAGGTCCGTTTACGCCGGTTGTTAAACAACATCGTTATGGGGAAATGCAAGTTTGCGTCCAAATGGTTGGAAGATAAGGAGGAAGGACAATCAATACTGTATATAGTGAATGTGAGGTAAAGTGTGTCGTCAATGTAACCGATTAAAACTCGAAGTGGCGATGAGGTCTTAAAATGTATGGAAAGGGTCTTAAAAAAAGGTCTTAAAAGGTATTACATTTGACTTCAGGATTCCTGCATATACCCTGAAAATGGAAAAGTAAACACACTCAAAACACACTCAAAACTGACTTCACAAGAAAACTTTAAATATAGTTTTGAGTCTAAACCTATTGATTGGTGATAATCATGTTTGCTAGGCATTGAAGTCACCTGCTAAGGGAAGAAATCTATGCTCCGTGCGCTCCGTGACACCAGGGGGTTTTCCTCCTGCTTTTCTTGGAGTAATACAAAAGTACTCCATTCAGCTGACATCTGTTTCAGTTGTTTGAGAAGTTATTTTGTTTTTCAGAATGTACTCCTCCTGTAAATGTTTCTCATTGTTGTTGTTTTTTAAACCTCAGCCTTTGAAAGCCCATTCATTTGATTGATTTCCACTATTCAACTAAAACCACAAAATAAAGTCCAACTAATTTACACTTGGAGCAGGCTGGTTAGTACTGTTTGTTGGGGAATAATTTGCTTAGGCATTCAACCTTTGACACAGTTCATCAATTTCTCCTTTCACTGTCTCCTTTCCCATGGCATAGGTCTACAGCCTTGGGTATTGCTGCTATCTCTCTTAAGGAAGAGGCAGCTTGGGCGCATTGTTGTTGCCAGTCTATGACAGAGCACAAGCCGCCACGAGCCACGAGGTAGTTTACTGTTCAGGGACGTACTGTACTGGTGCACATTCTTTCCTATGGACGAGAGCTCTAGTTAGATTCAGGGTCCATATTTGTTCAGTCTCGCTGATGAGGAATGTTGATTATTACACTGCGAACTAGTTAAAACCTCGAGCTGCAGAAGAGTTCTTCAGAATTGGTTTGGCAACCGCTGTGTCAACTCGTGACACACCACCTGTCTTGTCAATTCTCCGGCCGTAACTCCAAATAAACCGTCAGTGTTTGCCATCAAAGCTCCAGCTCTCCTCGTGTCTCTCTGAGTCCTGTTTCCAATTGCTTCAGAAGTTTCCCCCCACACTTTTTAGATGTGTCAGTGCTCTCTATCCCTGACAACCTGCATGCTTCTCTGTGTTAGCCATGAAGCTGATGACTGGGCTGGTGGAAGTGGCTGTGATCGTGTCTGTTCAGCAGCAGACCACCCAGCGGCAATACGACCAGGAGAACAGCAAGAGGGCATCGGACAGAGCCTCTGACAGACTGGAGGAGCTGCAGGGCCACCATCAGTCAGGTGACACACACACACACACACACAAAAACACTGGTATAAATGCATGCACAAAGCCACTATCTCATAATAAAAATGTGCTGTTTTTTTCCATGGGAGAGGATACAATTAGTGCTTAGAGAGATCATACTAAAGTATTCATATTGAAGACACTTTTGCAAGTAGGAAAAAGAGAACATGCTCTTTGCCCTTTTTTATGTTTAAATTATGTTCATAATAAATACAATCCAGAAATTCTCATTGACATGTTTGTGTTGTAGCTGCAGGAGAACAAAGCGGAGGTATCCTCCATGATGAACGCTACGTTTCGTGGTGTGTTTGTGCACCGTTACCGGGACCGGCTGCCTGAGATCCGGGCTGCTTGTATTGAGGAGTTGGGTGTTTGGCTGATAAATAACCCCGAAGACTTTCTGAATGACGGATGTCTGAAGTACCTGGGGTGGACCCTACATGACAAGGTAGACACATAGAGACAGGACTAGAACGAAAGAGTTAAGTAATGTTTTTACCGTAAGACATTTTTTTGCATGAAGCTTCTATTTTGGATAAGAGTCAAGCTCTGTATTTAGGACGTCAACACGAAGAAATCTGCAAACGACCCTCAGTCTGGATTAAGTTTCATCTGATTTTTCATTCTTATCAAATCAACTTTGAATGCGTGCAATGTTGATTTTCTGCAATTTCACAACTGTTGATTTGTGCAATTTTATTTCTATTTTTTTATGTTTTTGTTGCTATACAAATATAATTTATGTTGCTGTAATGCCCCTTTTCACACGGTTTTTCCTGTTCACACCGCAGCGGAGCCGGCTCTAAGCACCGAAAACCGGTGCTTACCAAGCACCAAAAAATTGTCGGTCTCGAAGCAAGAACCGCATACGTCACGCTTACGTCGGAGGGGGGCAAGATTAACCTGAGCTAACCGTTTATGGCGAGTACGGCAAATACAAGTTGTAACAAGCAGTAGCACTGAGCAAAGTGACTAGAACGCAACCACACGCTTTATAAAGTCAGGCAACACTAACCAGGCTTCGTGTGATTCTGTTTATTTGTGCCTTACTTTGACCATCTGTTCGCTGTTATTGATCATTGTGGAGAGAGGCAGACGTTTTGTTTTGTATTATAGCAGCTATCGGATGGAATCAATACATGGGCTGCACAGGTTGTCATGTCCGACTATCACAAGTAGAATCATAATGAAAAATACGCCGGTATAATGTGCCTGTAGAAAACGGTTTATGCCACAATAGGATAGCAACAACAAGTAGTCAAGATAGTCAGTTTAGCTTCGGTTGCTATGCTAACATCACCCATTTTATACCAGAGAAACTTTCATAACAGCGTTGTGATGCCAAACCAAGCCCCCAGGAAGCGCGCCGGAATCTGATGAAAATATTCGTTGTGTCCAAACGGCAGTACTACAATTTCCGTATCAGTCCGTGACGTCACTGGGCCCAGAAAGACTTTTCCCCAATGACTAACATTGGGAAAGAGAAGTCTGTAAATCAGCGGATACTTTTTAAAAAGCTAAATAAACTACCCAGTATGAACTATTTTATAGCCCTTATTAGAATCATTCGGTCCTGAAAGTTGTAAAATGCACTAAAAGCCGAATCTAGATTTATTTTCTGTCTCCATTCATTCTACTGAGCCGAGAGTGGGAGCTCGGGGGGGCGGGGCTTAAGGGGCGCATGCTCTGTGAGCGCACATACGGGTTCTTCTGCTCTGACAGCTAGGCATGATGGGTAATCTCTCTGTGACGTTTCGCTCTCTCAAAAGTTGGGCCATTTTGTCCTCTCATAGGAAATAACGAGACCCCGCCTCCCACGCTGTATCCAGTTCTTATTATACATCCATGGGCCAAACAGCGTCAATTCATACTGAAACACATTCACTTGGGGAATTGGGGATATGTATCAGCTGCTTGTGTGACAGTCAGACAGTGAATACTTTACAGCGGCCGCTGCCGTATGAGTTAAAGGGAGAATAAACTCCCGTGGAAGAGCAGCAGAGGCAGCACCAGTCGGACTCTGGGCGGTGTGAACAAAACGGTGGCTGAAAAGAACCGGTTCCGAACCAGAAGAGCACTAGCACGGAGCTAGAACGGGAACCGCGTTGGTGTGAAAGGGGCATTAAGATTGCTTCTAGACCTGCCACCTATACACTTGTGTGTATCCCTCTATATTAGCTAAAAGCAGGACGAGAAACTTTTCCCACAGTACAAATTATGTTTGAAAGGGCTTATGGCCAACAAATATTGATTCTGTTGGATAAGATCATTTCCGAAATTCAAGGCATGTATTTAACCAATTATTTAAACATGTTTTTATAATTTAATACTAATGATATTAGTTCAGCTTAAACCTAATCTGTAATTAAGCAGAACCACCCAGTTCAAACAGAATTAATAAATATGCAAAAATAAAACCTGTGCACCATTCAAATGTTAATTTATAAGTTTAAGGTCAACGTATTTTGAATGAAGCTTGAAACTGTTCAGTACGGCCCTTGAATCTCACCTGTGTCACAGTGGCAGCAGCTGTTTGTCTGCTGCTCTCTGCAGGGCAGCAGTGGACTGCAGTGTACAGGCTATAGGCATCTTTTCATTTTATATTCAAGATTTATAGTCAGAAAGCCTCTCACACCAGACGGCGCTATTGTAGAATATCTGTACACAGACCCAAGAAAGTTCACATACTCTCCCTCACACAAAGAGAAATGTCCTCTCTGTCTTATATCAGTCTGTATGTAGTTTACAAAGTGTGTTTCTGTACTCTGTTCTTCAGCAAAGTCCAGTGCGTCTGCAGTGTGTCCGTGCCCTGCAGGCCCTGTACCAGGAGAAGGAATTAATTGGCCGCCTGGAGCTTTTCACCAGCAGATTTAAAGTGAGGCATCCCTCTGGATTGGACTCACCTCATTGAATGTCTCTTTTCCCCCTCCTCCCGTCTGTCTGTCTCTCTGTCTGTCTCTCTGTCTGTCTGTCTGTCTGTCTCTCTGTCTGTCTCTCTCTCTGTCTGTCTCTCTGTCTGTCTCTCTCTCTGTCTGTCTGTCTGTCTGTCTGTCTGTCTCTCTGTCTGTCTCTCTCTCTGTCTGTCTCTCTCTCTGTCTTCTCTGTCTGTCTGTCTGTCTGTCTGTCTGTCTGTCTCTCTGTCTGTCTCTCTGTCTGTCTCTTTGTCTGTCTCTCTGTCTGTCTGTCTGTCTGTCCGTCTGTCCGTCTGTCTGCATACCCTCTCTTTAATCTATTGTTTCAGCTTATTGTTTCTATTTTGCTGCCTGCCTGTGTCCGTCTTCGCAGTATTATTGTGCCCCTCCCACTTCTTTGCCTTTTTTTATTTATTTTTGTATTATTATTCACCGTTCTGGTTTGTTGTGTCGGTCTTATCCTTTGTCTCTGGGTGTGTCTCTGGGTGCATTAATTGCTGCCAATTACTGTTGGTTAATAAGCTTTGTTCAAACACATACAAACCCTCCTAAGCCACATGTGCTGCTGCAGATAAATGGTTTTCATGCCATGGCTTAGTGCCTAATCAGTTGGTTTGTATGCGTGCATGCATGTCTGTGGGTACTTTAATGTGTGTCATTTTTACACCCATGTGTCTGCTGGCATGGCTGTTCTTCTGTCTGTTTAAGGAGAGGATGCTCTGCATGGTGCTGGACAAAGACCTGGATGTGGCAGTGGAAGTGGTCAATCTGTTGCTGCTGATCCAACAGTGAGCACTCTCTCTCTCTCTCTCTCTCTCTCTCTCTCTCTCTCTCTGAAGCATTCTCTCTCTGAAGCATTCTCTCTCTCTCTCTCTCTCTCTCTCTCTCTCTGAAGGATTCTCTCTCTCTCTCTCTCTCTCTCTCTCTCTCTCTCTCTCTGAAGGATTCTCTCTCTCTCTATTCCGCGTCTCTACACTCTGAAGGAGTCCTCTCTCTCTGGTCTCTCTCTCTCTCTTTCTCTCTCTCTCTCTCTCTCTCTCTCTGAAGGATTCTCTCTGTGCCTTTAGCTCCAACATACAGTACAGGAACTTAACTGGCATAGTTCAAAACAAACCAAATATAGCAAGTTTTTTACAATTTCCTCTTTTTGCTTGGATAGTTTTGTGCTTTATTAAAACAAATTATATTAATATAATTAGTTATAATGTTATCCAGTTATTTGATTCTGTTCGTCTTTGATCCATGAAAGTGCCTGAATAAGAATCTGTTTATACCAAATTCTCACTTAGAAATGTGAGATGAAAATCCCAAATACTGCAAATAGATCCTGGTTGTCCTCCTTCCAGGTCCAGTTTCTCGACAATAGAAGTGAAATGGTTACTCATAGGTGTGATAACACTCTTTGTCGTAGATGCGGATGAATCACAGTGTGATTGGCCAACATCTCCCACCACTGACTCAACTCACAACTTAGATGTAGATAACTGAAAGAGAAGACAATGTGATTATGAAATGTATGGAAAAATCCTACTGATTGTTAATAAAGGTTATATAAATAGCATACTGTACTGTGTTAAATACCTGTTCAAATAAAACTGAAACACTTTTAGACAAGAGGCAAAACAATGTCGGTTTTTAACCTTGTGTTTTACATTGTCCAGTAAGAGTTTTATGTGCACATATGCAGGAGCACAGAGGGTGGTCTGAGAGAGGAGGAGTGCGGTCACATCTATCCGCTGGTCTACGCTTCAAACCGAGGCCTGGCGTCTGCCGCTGGCGTCTTCCTCTTCAACAAGTACATTTTCATGTTTCCTTTCTGCAAACTGTCAGTCTGTTTTAGAACATTTGTAGAGTCGTGAAGCATAAAGATAATACTGATTTAAACCATGGATGTATAATAAGAACTGGATACAGCGTGGGAGGCGGGGTCTCGTTCTTTCCTATGAGAGCTGCTCATTGGCGCATGAAGACAAAATGGCCCAACTTTTGAGAGAGCGAAACGTCACAGATTACCCATCATGCCTGACTGTAAGAGCAGAAGTACCCGTATGTGCGCTCATAGAGCATGCGCAGTTGAGTTGCCCCTTAAGCCCCGCCCCCCGAACTCCCACTCTCAGATGCGCGTTTATAATGCCGAGGAAAATAACTCTCAGAATAACGTTATTAGCACCTTTTACAACTTGAGGACCTAATGTAATAAGGGCTATACAAATGTTCATACTGGGTAGTTTATTTGGTTAAAAAAAAAAATTATCCAACGATTTACAGACCACTTTTTCCCAATGTTAGTCAATGGGGAAAAAGTCTTTCCGGGCCCAGGGACATCACGGACTGATACGGAAGTTGCAGTACGCCGTTTGGACACAACGAATATTTTCCTCAGAGTCCGGCGCACTTCCTGGGGGCTTGGTTCAAACCGGTTGATTGTCAGCTAATCTGCCGTCAATTGTTACCATTGTCTTAAATTCCCACATATGTCATGGCCCACATAATGGTTTTACGTTGCACACAGACACACCGGTGCAGACAGTAACCACCTATTGTCATAGCAACACACACAACTGGGTTGCTAACGTGTGGACTTTCTGCCTAAATGATGCGTCTTTCTCTTAGCATCTTTTTATGACTAGCAACACATTTTGCAACTCACACACCTTTACAATCTTCCTCTTTCATTTATGGTTTGGTTTAAACAAATACATTGCTCTGGATAGATAATACATATTTGACTCTCTGTTGTAGGCTTCTCCGTGGTAGGAAATATGTGATGCTGTCTTATAGCTATAGAAAGAAAATTGGAAGTGGCAGGTGATAAATAATACAAATGAAAAAGAATGGAAACTGGAATTTGCCAAGGAAATTGCATCCCTAGTTGTGTGGCTCTTCCTGTATTGGACAGATATGTTTCAATTTCTATTTGTTGATTGATTTCTTTATAAAAGACATTCCGCCAAATTAAAACATTAGATGTCTTTCATGACCTTGATACATACTACATGTTACAAGCAGTGTAAAACACATATGTATACTTCCTTTTGTAACTAAGCATCTGCCTTAAATCAGTGAGCAATGTTCCCATGCCAGTTCTTTATTTTTGGTTGATGTAAATATGTTGTGTGTTTGTCTGTCAGGCTGAAAAGTGTGATTGACAGTGAGAACCAGGTGAATGGTACAAGTGGAAATGCAGACCTCCTTCAAATCCTCATCACCTTCTACATCCAGAGTGAGGTAGTGTCTCTTTCTGCCCTCATTTCCCTCTTTCCAATCATGTTTTCTGATTAAAAGTACTGTTCAAATCCTATAGAAACGTGTAATCCAAATCCTTGTTAACCTTAACACAAAACCGCGGTTCAGTTAGGTCAACTTGTGGTCAATGTCTTTAAAACCCTTATAAAACATGCCCCTGGGAAACGCTCTAAAGTCACGCAATAAGATTAATTCTCTGGCAAATCCATGTTTTATTTTAGTTCCCTATGGACGACTACATTTATCTACCAGGCTTAGCAGGACATTTTACAGCAGAAACAGCAAAACAACACTCAGGTAAAAAAAAAAATTCAGGAGTAAGCCAAGTCTCACAGTAATGAATCGATTCGCAAGTCCAATTTTTGTAACTCGAGGCCAATTCTCAAGTCTGCAGCTCTCGGTTAATGCATGTCACGTCTCAAAAATCTTTATTCTGAAACTGCATGACGCAGTACAAGTTTGTATGCGTTTAAACTGCAAACTATCCATTGAAGAATAAGAAGAAGACATACTTTATTAATCCCTCACGGGGAAATGTGTCTCTGTTGTGTCATGGGTAAAGTAAATGGCATTGTTGTTCAGAAGCAGATAATTGTTTGGCAGCTGTGTATTGAAGGTACGATTTAGAGTTAATCTAAAAACAATGTCCCTTCTCCCCCTGATAGTTCCACGAGCACGGGGCGTACCTGGTGGACAGTCTGTGGGACGTGGCGAGATCTGAGCTGAGAGACTGGGAGACCATGACCACGGTTCTGCTGCAGGAGTCTGGTGAGGAACAACAGACCACAGTCTGAGCTGCAGCAGAGATAGAGCTCACTGAGGATTTCTACAAGGATATGAAGTACAGCCAATGGGAATAAAGTAGCCTGCCATGGGGCCCTCTGGAGAAATGTTCCATAAAAGCCCTAAAATTGGTGGCCTCATGCACATTCTAATGTCAGTATAGCTTCATACTCATTATTAATACATATTTAAAATCATAAATATGCATTGAATCATTGGAACAGGTTTAGGGTTCATGTGCGTTTAAGCCCATATATTCTGTAATCAGCAATGCACTACTACAACTATTTCATTTATTTAGACAGGCCGTAATAAAAACAGAAATATGGTTGTGGTATGTATTGTTTGACTAGAATCATAAATGCACTCTTATTAAATATGCAACGTTTTCAAAAGAGGGCACATGTTTTTTTTCTGATCTAGCCAAAGTATTGGTTGTAATTTAAATTATTCATAAGATAAATGTATGTTGAATAGAAAAGTGTGACCCCATTGATTAATCAGGGGAAACTACTGAATCAACTCAACCTTTAAAAGCAGTATGTGAATAAAGATAATCAATTTAAATGTATATAACTCATGTTATATCACAGTAAAGGCCCGGACACACCAAGCCGATTTCGGCCGTCGATGAGCGTCCTATCGCCCTACTCAGATTGGTGTGTCCAGCACCGTCGTGTCTTTTCGGCCGTGCCGACACCTTCCGCTCCCGATTCAAGGCTGTCGGCAAAATAAATCACTCTGATTGGCTGTTCAGCTTAGCGAATCAGTGCATGAGAAGCGAAACTTCTAAAAAGGGGTAAATGAATAATCTTTTTTCTCAAAGCAATGATAAGCCTGTGAGTTGGATGTAGAAAAGTCAGAATCAATATAGAATTTTTTTTATTTTAAAGTAAATTCAGATTGAACATGGTAAAACATTTTTAATTATAGTGTCCGTCCAAAAACAAACCCATTACTTATAGTGAAAACCAACCTTGAATGATGGGATAATAGACTAAAAGCTTTAGGAATCCAAACTATAACATATAACAAGTACCCTGTATCAAGATTGATGCAAAACAAGTGACATTTGACCTTTTTAGAGAGATTTAGAAGAAAAAAACACTTCTGGGGTCATTTGGGTGGATTTGACATATCTCTGGCCCTCGTCGGTCGATTTTGATGATTGACACCTCTTTTTAACCGTTAGAGCCAATAGAATCGAGAGGAAGTTCCTAAAATCCATCTAAACATTACCCATTGGTGAATGAGTGATGCGTAGCCAGAATGCCCAAACCCGGAAGCTGTCATACACTCTAGTAGCTATCGTAGCAGCTAATATGAAAACTCAGTTTGGTGTGTCAGGGCCTTAAGTTGTTTCCATGTGCTGCTCCCTCGCTGCATGGTGCCTCATCAGCTGTCATCCTCTCACTTCTGTTCATCTGTGTGTGTTGTCAGGTCTGATGTACGAGGAGGAGGGGGCTCTCGTAGAGCTGATGATGTGCGCCCTCAGACAGGCAGCGCAGGCGAGCCCCCCTGTTGGGAGGACTTCGGGCAAGAAGGTGGTGACACCCAAACACATGCATAATAAACCTCTGTAGTTTATGTTTAATCTGGAACAGTCGAGTTAGTGGGCGAGAGAAATGTCATATGTCTTTGTTTTTACTTCAAATATAACCGTCATACAAAAAGTTTTAAAGCTTCAATACACAACTTTGTGACACTAAACAGGAATAAATAAGATAAACCACATCAGCCTACTTCATGTGTAGAAAATATCAGTGTTCATCTGTTCATGTCTTATCAAAAATGAGTGCTTATCGTGATATCGTTATCTAGTTTAAGTAACTTTTATTAGGATAGAAAGTTGCATAATTTACAGTTCCATAAAAAGTATATCCTTTTAATTTATAATTGTTTGAACTTTACTGGAAATGTATGGTCACATTACTTTGAACACAGGAAGCACACACACATTTAATTCATTTCTGAATGTTTTTTTCCTCACATATGGTTAAATGGCTGGCTTGTGACTGTTGTGTCTGATCAGCTTCTCGGTATGAAGGATAAGAAAGCCCAGGAGCATGACAGGAGGCGCCTCACCATGCACTTCATCCCGTTACTGCCACAGCTGCTGGCCAAGGTACGCTCAACTCACCGTATAACACTGAGGCTATTGATATTATACCGTTACATTTCTTACATTGTACACAGTGTCTGGCACTAAACAGTTGCACAGTATTACCTTCACCATATGTCTATATATAAACATATTTCACAAGGCTTGGAATGTAAGGGAATATATGGAATGGCATTATGTAATTAGGATACAAAAGACGGAACCTGTATTTGAGTGTATGAGTAGTGTTTCATTGATTTAATGACATCATTGATGCTTTTTGTTCAAATGTGGATTATTAGTAGGATAACCATTTTTAAATTCATTATTAAATAAAGAATGATAAACTACCAAAATATCCAAATGTAATCCTATTGATATTTCAACGTTTGCATATTTGTTAATAAGGTAAACGCAAAGTCATCAAGTGAGATTTTTTCAATATTGTGAGAATTGGATTAGGCAGTTGACTACATTTTGTAAAAGGTATTTTGTACTTGTATCTGCTACCCTCCCAACCTTGTATATTTGCTACCTCATTTCATTTTGAGTGAATGTAAAATGACTATGGCAAGTATAGATAATAAGTGTTTCTTTATTTGTATCATTTTATATATTTGTTGATGTCAAGCCAGTGTTTCTCTCTTCTCTCCCTGGGCTGCAGTACTCAGCAGATGCAGGGATTGTGACTCTCCTTCTCAAAGCTCCCCTCTACTTTAACCTGGAGATGTACAACAGCGTGCCGCGGCTGGAGAAGGTAGGAGTGAAGAATAATCCATTGAAAATGACCCCGTCCCCATGTTTTAATACTACTAAATCTTATTTTAAAGTACTACTAGTTAACCAGTTCTCTATGGATCTCCTCCCAGTATCTGGACCAGCTGCTGTTTCAGTTGTGTGGGATCGTGGAGAAGCACACTGAGGTCACTGTGCTGCAGGCTTGCTCCACCCTGTTCAGCGCCCTCTGTGCCGACAGCTACACCTTCTCCTCCCGCTCTCTCCTGGCCTTCAGCCAGCTGCTGGACGGCCTGACCGAGTGCTTCAGCTCCTACCTGAGCGACCTGCTGCAGGTGGGAGTGTGTGTCAGTGGAGCTCTATATAGGCAAAAGGAGCAGGTTAAACATGCACATACTTGGTGTTTAATAGTATGTTGTTATTGGATAAAGTCATGCCCACCAACTATATTCAATTAAACTATAGAGAGGCGAAGTCCCGCCCATCGACTTCCGACTCATAGGACCTTATTTCGGAAAAAGTATGTATTGAAGTCAATGGGGAGAGAAAGATTATCTTTCGATCCCGTTTGAATTGTGCCACGAATTACACATATGATGTTTGTCAATCTTAAAAAATAATTTCCATGTCAAAAAAGTCCCAGTTTGTCGTAAAACTGTTGAAATATAAGACTATGAAAAATACGCAGCTAGAAAGACTACAAATCCCAGAATCCCGGTCCCGCATGCTGGCTCTTACGAACCGACTAACTCCCCTTGTGTGTATGTGCAGCTCTCAACATGCCCAGACTTGGAGTGATTTTCACCTCTTTTAATACTTTTCGCCTCATTCTGAAAGAAAGAGGTGAAATGTGCCAACGTGACGGCCGTCTTGGTGTGTGGTGCGAGACGGGAGATGTAGTTCATTGAGCGGTTTCACACAAAAAAAAGTGTTACTTTATGACACATTTTTATTTTTTTTACTTGCAAAATTATCTTTTAAATTGACAAACATCATATGTGTGATTCGTGGCACAATTCAAACGGGATCGAAAGATAACTTTTCTCTCCCCATTGACTTCAATACATACTTTTTCTGAAATAAGGTCCCATGGAGCTCCCCGAGAAAGGGAGGGACTTCGCCTCTCTGTGCCAGGACAACTAGGTCTTTGTAATATACAAATAACAAAGGCTTAGAAACTATTATATATAACAACTGACAGGATGTTAAAGGAATACTACACCTACAAAATGACCATTTGTATAACAACTGTTTACCCCACGTCACCTTGCGTTCTTGGAAGACATTTATTGTCTAAACCATAAATAAAGAATAAAAAAAACTGAAATTGGGTCATGATAAAGAACAACAAAACTATATCAAAACATCCGATCAAAATCTATAATACAAATCTCATTTATCTAATTGTATGCTCGCTTCTTCCCAAACACATGCATTTTCAAAAAATAAATGTATGGTTTCAGGTCAGCATGTTGTTTTTGTACTTGGACTGAAAGAAAGAGTTGATAACCATGGGTTCTCTAAACAGTGAGTGTGTTTCTGTACTCAGGGCACTGCAGATGACGATAGCGTCTACAGTGCAGCCACTACTCTGAAGAGGATTGCAGCACTGAGCAGGTAAGTGTGTGTGTTTATGATAAACATGGCAGCAGGAGTACAGGTTATTTCTTACACAGAAGTGTGTGTGTGCATTTTTGTTTATTTGTTGTGCAGTGCCAAGGACATGACAGCCTGGAAGCTGTTCGACCCTTGCCTTGAGCTTCTGAAGAGCAGGATTGAGTCCAGAGACCTCGACAAAGAGGTTTGTGATAGGGTCAGATCATTTTATATACGAGAGAGAGCATTTTGATAACCTTTCAAACGAGGCATTTTATTTGAATTACATGCATTTCAGCCGCCTCTGAAATTGCTCCATGTTGTATAACTATCGTACAGAACATTATAGAGAGGCGAAGTCCCTCCCTTTCCGGGGGAGCTCCATGGGACCTTATTTCAGAAAAAGTATGTATTGAAGTCAATGGGGAGAGAAAGATTATCTTTCGATTCCGTTTGAATTGTGCCACGAATTACACATATGATGTTTGTCAATTTAAAAGATAATTTTGCAAGTAAAAAAAATAGAAATGTGTCGTAAAACTGTGAAGTAACACTTTTTTTTGTGTGAAACCGCTCAATGAACTACATCTCCCGTCTCGCACCACACACCAAGACGGCCGTCACGTTGGCACATTTCACTTCTTTCTTTCATAATGAGGCGGAAAGTATTAAAAGAGGTGAAAATCACTACAAGTCTGGGCATGTTGAGAGCTGTACATACACAAGGGGAGTTAGTCGGTTCCATAAGAGCCAGCATGCAGGACCGGGATTCTGGGATTTGTAGTCTTTCTAGTTGCGTATTTTTCATAGTCTTATATTTCAACAGTTTTACGACAAACTGGGACTTTTTTGACATGGAAATTATTTTTTAAGATTAACAAACATCATATGTGTAATTCGTGGCACAATTCAAACGGGATCGAAAGATAAATGTTCTCTCTCCATTGACTTCAATACATAATTTTTCCGAAATAAGGTCCCATGGGTCGGAAGTAGATGGGCGGGACTTCGCCTCTCTATAGTTGGGCTGAACTAAGTGTGTAGGTTCAAACATTTTAATCAGGACATTTTCAGCTCTGAATTTGTAATGCACACATGACAAAAATATCTACATTTTAAAGGGCATTTTCAAACAAACTTAAGGAAATCCTGTAATACCGCAGTCTTTCCGGAGGTGTTTATCAGGCAAGTTGACATTACATGTTGTGCAGCCATGCATTGTACAAAATCTAAACAAATTGAATTATTTTTGTCTGATTTCAGCTCATGGTGTCGGCTCTGAAGTGTGCTGCCTTTCACCTGATGTGGGCTAAAATGAACGCAGTCAACTCAACTCCAGCTGAGGTGTTCTTCTGCAGCAATGTTTTTTTTCTCCGACATTGCATTCACCCTTTTATAAGACGCTTAAAAATAGTTTGACCTTCTCTCACTCTTTCTCACACACACACACACACACCTTGGCTCCTTCCTACCTGCTCTCGATCAGAGCAAACCCTCAGTGTGTCCTTCCTGTGTGTTTGTGGAGCTCCTCTCGTCTGTGTTGTTCAACAAGTCACCGGCTGCACAGACAGCAGGCAATTAACACAACAATCTGTTGCGTTTCCAAGCCCACGATGACACTCAGACATTTATTTCCCACTGGTTCACACCATTCTGTTTCTTTTAATGAATTAGTTGTTTGTCCTCCTCTCTTGAGCTAATTTTAACTTTTTAAATTTGAAAACGCATGCTATCTCCTCCTTGTGTTGCATTTTGTCTTTCATGTATTAATAGCAGCACAGGTTGGCAGGTTCTTCACACACACACACACAGGCCGTTTCTCAATCGCGAGGATGCTGGCTTGGTAGCACAGCCGAGCCGAGCATCTTGCTTCAGAAGCAAGGCAAGAATACTTCCTGGCATTCGGAAAACGAAGAGTGGAACAGGCTAGCAAGTGTGCAGGTGTGCGTCATACGAGAGGCCCCGCCTTACATCTTCTGCCACAGATTTGGGGAAATTGGTCCATGCGCAAAGCATTGTGGGGATTTTAAGGACGCGAAGTCTACCCATGTGCAGCCTCGAAATTTCCCCCAAACCAAGGACGGGGCCTCGGTGGAATTCCAAGTATGCTGGAGATTGGAACAGTCCTTCGGCGGCACTCGATGATGTAGCATCCTTGAAATATTGGCTTGGAAGCCAATATCCTCGCGATTGAGAAACGGCCACACACACTCTTGTAGGCTAGAACAGCAGCTGAAATTATGGTGACTTTAATTTGTGACTCGTCCTGTTGTCAATGTCTACTTTGACAACAGGACGACAGCACTTGTGTAGCAAAAATTGTTTTTTCTTTCCTTTATCCATCATCAAGAATCAACATGTATATTTTCTACTTTCTTGTTTATTTCTAGTCTTTTATTTTTATTGTACAATGCCATGTCTTTTTCTGCTGCTGCAACACAAACATTTCCCAAATTGGGATCAATAAAGTACTTCTTATCTTATCTTATCTTATCTTATAATAGAGTGCCACAGTGACGCGTCCTAAAACCCGGAAGTAAGTTAGCATGTTACAACGTCCGGTTCCTTCGACAAAAAGCAATGAGATTTCTCCATAGGATTTTGGAAAAAAACTCGAAATAAGGTCTGTGTTTGAGACACATTTAAGAGACGGATCACGTTTTGTTCTACGACATTAAATATATCAGCAGTGACCCCACTGGTGATTTTTGAAGAGTTTACGTGTCTGAAAAACGATGGTTGTTAACATGTGGCTGAATAGGACTACAGAAGTTGTCCAGGCCGTTTTACGTCATTACACCGAACACGTAAACACTCCAGCTAAGTTTGTTTTTCCCCGTGTTCTGCTTGAAAGCAAGTACCTGCCTCCTGCAAACTGTTCAAGCAAACGCTTCAACTTGTACAATTTTGAATCTGTATTTTTGAATATGCATGGCGTGACGTTGAAGCAGCGACCCTGCTGTAGTTCCTTTATAGCATAACGTTAGCATTTTGCTTCTGGCGACTAGATTTATGATAAAAAAATTATATAAAAGTAGGGTAGACATGTGGATATGATCCGGCTGAACAAAACGTGATCCGTCTCTTAAATGTGTTTCAACCACAGACCTTATTTCGAGCTATTTTCCAAAATCCTATGGAGAAATTGCATTGCGTTTTTGTCGAAGGAACCGGAATGAGTTTACTTCCGGGTTTTAGGACGCGTCACTGTGGCACTCTATACTGTGACCCTTTTGTTGAATGACAAATAGACGATCTTTATAAAACATTACGTGGACTTTGGTAATCTTCATATTTTATTTCTACAATCTTAAATCCATATTGGTTATCACTTCTTGCCCCTCATCCTGTCTTGCACACAGAAATATAGAAATGTAATAATTTCATCTGAGATCTGTTCACCTTCTGCTCCAGGAGGAATTAAAGCGTCTGAAGAAGGAGATGCGCTCGTTCTGCAAAGTGTGTGAGACGTGTCTGTCTCTGAACCAGACGGAGATCAGAGATCAGGTGAGAAACGTCGACCCATGTGACCTCAGTGGGACAATGTTAATTATGTCTCCTGTTATGCATTACAGATAACTAGTTGCCCTGTTCAAATGAAACAAGTAATTTAACTGTATTATAATTACTTTTTTTTCAATAAATGGTTAAAACTGGGTAATAAAGATGGAAAGCCGATGACGTTGCACGACATTAGTGACCAGCATTGCCTGGAAATATGCCAAAAGAACCAGAATGAATGTAATCTTATATTTTCACAGCAAATTATAAATATGGATGCAACCACTTAGTAATTACCAACAATTTAATTAGTAATTCAAATTTCCTTCACTAACTAGCAGATTACTGTTCCTTCATTGTGTAATTGAATTAGAAGGGAACCAGATACTCCTCAAAACAGTGAACTGACCGCACTAAGACTATGTTATTGGCTTGTTGCTTGGGGAAAAGGTTATTTTTTCTTTTATGCTCTTATATTCTGACAACATTCCGGTCAACACAGGTAGACGTATTTGTCCTTGAGCCCTCCTTTACACAAAGACACAAAAAGACTCCTCAGACAAAGTGCTTACCTATCTGACAAACCGTAAGCGTTGACGTGCTTACCTATCTGTCTTTTCAGAGATTTCCTATATAAAATGGTCCTTTCCTCCCCAGGCGTTCGAGCTGCTGTGCGACCTGCTGCTCCTGTACGGTCAGACTGCGGTCCGCTCGGCGCCCGCCCTCCAGATGCTGGTCCTCCAGCCCTCAGACTCCCTGCGCTCTGACATGGCTGCTTTCCTCATGGACTACATCTTCTCTGACTCTGATGATGACGAGCTCAATGGTATTTTCAAAATAACACCTACTCTAAATAAATGTTTGCATTACCCGTGGTACTTTCCAGAACCACTTCCAGTCTTTTTTTGACAATGCTGTTACAGATCATCCTCACCCTTTTTGAAACTTCTGAGTAGACAAATAGATTTTGTTTTCCTAGTGGGTGTGTAGTGGTTTTGAAACAAATCTTAACTCTGCCAAATCTCTCCCAGAGGACCCTCTCCTCATTTATGCCTGCAGACATCGTTTTTGATGTCTTGTTTTGAGAATCTGCTGCTATAACAAATCCTTTTTTTCTGTTTTCACAATGTTCTGCTAATTCCCAAGCCAATACCAGTCTTTCATCACACGTTTTGCCTGTGTCTTATCATAACCTGACCGTTGTTTTGTTACTGTTACTCCTGCTCTCCTCCACCCTGATTCTGCTCTCCTCTTTAGTTGAGGAGGAGATGAAGATAACGCTTCTCCAGAGGAAGCGCAACCAGCTGGCTGGCTACTGTAAGCTGGTGATCTACGGCGTGCTGGACCTCAGCGCCGCCACCGACGTCTTCAAGCACTACAGCAAGGTGGAGATGAAGGGCTTTAAAGGTCACCTATCATGCTATTTTTAGGCAATAGTGTAGGTCTCAGATATATAACAAAATATAAAAAACCTGTCTATGAAGTGTTTTGGTCAAAAAAACAAACAGATCACCCATTCTAGCCATGCCTCATATCCCTCTATTTCACTTCCTGTTTCAAAAGTGCTGATTCTGGGTATAAACAGGTCTCTCTTGAGAATGAGACCCTGTGTCTCAATGAGATTTTCACCTGTATAAATAAAAATAAAGCTTTTTTTTTTTTTTAACTGAAAAAAATAAGAGGGGGCGGAGCTTATGCCGGCTCATGCAGGACCTGGCAGATACTGTCTAAAATGCTGCAGTGATGAAACGCAAGGATTATTAGATCAAGGATTATTTCTGAAACAGTATGGAGCTCAAAGGCTTTCTCTCTTGCCGGTTATACCACAAGGTGAGTTCCTTTTTATTTCCTGCTTCTTCACACACATGCTCTGTGCAGTACAGGTTAGCTCTGAGTGTTAGCGATGCTAATGTAAACACCGACCATATTACGTCCAAAACAGTCGGGCATTGTTTCTGATAGCAATGTTTCTGATAGTGCTGTGGGTCCGCCGCCGATATTACGTCATATCGGCGGCAAATCTGGATCAGCTCCGTTGTACCCCCGTTTTTAGAGATTTGGGTACGGAGGAAAAGAGAGAGGGTTTTATTTTCTGACGCTGTGTGAGTTCCCTGACACACCGGGGACACATATTGATGTATAAAAGACATCAAAACGTGCATTTTGCATGACAGGTCCCCTTTAAGGGATAATTACATTTCATTAGATACACAGTTATACTTTATCATTAGATTGATTTGGTGTGAGGGTTGGAGATAATAGCCCTCTAGAATATATCATTTTCCAAGTAAAAAAACAAAAAATTTGAATTACCCACATCCATGATATGAGCAGTTCAATGTAAGATTTTTTTTCTCAAGGATTACACTCATAAAAACAAATAAAAACTAGCCTCTTGTCAAGAAAAATAGATGAATAAAAGATTAATACTTGCGAGGATGTGTAAGAGAGTGGAGGATGGTGATAAAATCTGTTTAATGAACCAGCGAGGTGCAGAGAGTGAGTCAGAGGGAAAACTGATTTTAAAAAGCACAGATGACTTAAAGGGAATTATCACAATGCTGTTAACTTAATCTGTTAATGATCATGCTTGAAGTAACTTTGAGTGTTTGTGTTTTTCTCCAGTACTTTAAAGACTTTGGCGACATCATTAAAGAGACCGTAAGCAAGAGCAAACTCATCAGCCCCGTCCAGAGCGCCAAGACGATCTGCCTCAGTCTGCAGCAGGTGGGCAACAAAGGGGCCATAACAGACTATAATCATTACATTTATGCAATCTTTTGATTTCATCCGTCTAGTGAAAGTTAATTATATCAGCTTTCACTGTTAAACAATAGCAAAAACTGACAGATGTTTATCAGCTTGTGGCCGAAAACATAATTATTATTCGGTGTGTGTAGTTAAAAAAGTATTTTAACCAGCGAACAAGTGACACACTGTGGCACATCTATAGAGCCTTTGGTGTCACATGTTTATGTAAAGTCATGTTTGTGTGTGCTCAGGTGTTCTCAGAGATGCTGACGGAGGACCACAGCCAGCAGGATCTCAGTGAGATTAGAGAATTGGCCAAGAAGCTTGCCATGAGCTTTGGCATTGATCTTCATCGCGTCCGCAAACCACTGGTGGCCTTGCACATGTACGAAGCACACACACACGTCTCTGACACACACACATACAGACCAGCTCTGACAGACATTTAGATTTTAATGTTTTTAAAAGGGCACGGGTTTATATTTATATTATTATCTCTGTCATGATAATCAACTCGAAATTGGTTAAAATAAATGTCATTTAAATGGTGAAGATTCAACTGTTACAAGTTTTTCACTCTTATAGCTGATCATTCATTTAGTTTCTTATGTTGCGTTTTTCTCCAGTGCTTTAAAGACTTAATTAAAGAGACTGTAAGCAAGAGCAAACTATAATTTAGTTTTTTATGTTAGTCCTATTGTGCTTGTTGTTTTTGATCTTAGGGATGGTATACATTTTGCATTTCGGGAGCCACGGGAGGGGGAAGAGCCGAACATTAACTTGGCCTTCCTGGAGATCCTCAGCGAGTTCAGTTTCAAGCTGCTGCGTCAGGACCGCACCCAGCTGTGAGAAACAAAAAACTCCTTCACATGAACATGTTCAGTCAAATATCAGAGGAATACTGATATCACAATACAAGCATAATATATAAACAGATCACCACGAGGCACCTCAAAGGACAAAGTTACATTTTCCTTTGGCCTACTAAATCAAGATATTTATATATTAATAAGCAAACACAGATAATGTGATCATTCTTGAAATGTCACTCTGTTAAAGCTTTTCCAAATGTTGTTTATTCACATTCGAAGCTTATATTTATATTCCAAGTGTTTGTCACATTATGACACCTCTAAAAAAGCGATGCATTTGATTATTTAATAAAACTGTGTTGATGGTGTTCCAAGTGAATACATATTTTGACATTTTATAACGACTTAAATAATTGATTCTAATAGTGTTAGAGCAGAGACATATTTTTTGTTATTTTGGTTTTATAAATGTTATTTTTTTATGCTGCTAGATGGATGCTTTGTATGCGGCAAACTGTTTTTATTTAACCGCAAATATTATGGGCAGGGTGCGTACGGGTGCTGGAAATCCTTGAAAATGCTTGAAATTGTACGAGGTGTTTTCAAGGTTTGAAAAGTGCTTGAATTTTGGGAATGGTGCTTGAATCTGGGACAAAGTGCTTGAAATTGTAAATGCTTTACTTCGCTTTTTAGATTAAAAGAAAATAAAGAAGTCAGAGCGCGCTTAATTGCTTCGCTTTTACATAAAACAGCTCCGCTCCGGCCTTCCCGCGCTATGCGCGTGACCGGCAACTGTTTTTGTTACGTGTGTGACCTGGGCATTCTGATGAGAGTGATAGATGACAGTATGCCAGGAGGTTGCCGTTTCAACGAGCGTTGGCTAGCAGAAGACAAATACAAGCCATGGCTAAGACGAGGGTCAAGCGAAGCCCAAGAGGAGCCTCCTGCAAAGTGTGCAACAATAACGATGCGAGAGTCTGCGCTGACGAGCCACACACCACACGAAAGGTACGCCAGAGTAGAGCATTTTAGATTAGGCTATTGTTGCATGTAAAATACATGACACTTTTCTCTGTGCGCGGCAAAACAAGCTCGCCAAAATGGTTTCACTAGTCTGGCAGTATTTTAAGTGTCCGAAAATGACAATAAAATAGCGGTATGCAACGTGTGTGAAGCAGAAATCCTGCAGCTCCACCCGCTGTGACGGACCGGTGAGCGGAGCAGAACACACATTAAGAGTTAGACCTAACACACTTAGCTATTTTATCTACCTCTGGAACAAGCTAAACTTTATAAATATATGTATTCTTCACTGTCGGGTCACTCATTACTGGATCAGTGAGCTCCAGGAGATACTGACGGGCTGTCAGGAGAAAGAGAGAGACGGGGAGAGAGGAAAAGAGAGCGCTTCCGCTCATTTCTCCCGTGTTATTATCCCAAGTTAATGTAAACTTGAATAATGTACTTCATTTGAATGTAATAATTATGTTGGTTGGTTGGCTTGTGGAAGCGCCAGTGAATGAGCCCCATTAACTGAGTTTTAAACATCACTTTAAATGGAAGATCCCCATAGGCCCCGCCCACTCGATCGGATCGGCGATCGGTATCGGCCGATACTGATTCCGGCGATCAGCCCCAAAATTGGCGATCGGAGCATCCCTCATAATTGTATATGATATGTTTTATAATGATTGATCATGAAAGTGTTATCAAAGCTGGTAAAGTTGCAGCTAGTTTGAATGACTTTGTATACTGCAGGGTAGCTTGTGAATTTACTCCAGATGGAACTAAAGTCTGATTTAACACTTGATTATATTTCACATCATTCATCCACATCTGTAAAGTAACTAAAGGTATTAAATACATGTAGTGGAGTAAAAGTACACCATTTACCTCTGACTTATGTTTACTGCCAACCTAAAAGTACCTCAAAAATAGTAATCAATAATGTATTGAAAAGTTATTTGGCTGATTGTTTTATATTGGCTCAGCCAGGTTATATGGGATGCCCAGTCTACGTACAGATGGGTCACTCATTTTGAAATATTAAACTTAGTTTTCTTCTCTAACATTTTTAATTTTTCATCCTCATGTAGAATGCTATTACGAAACACACATTTGGTTGTTTATAGCATAAAGAACATCTGATTTAATGTAAGGTAGGGAAATAATCATTTGAGTATAAGTATGTGTATATAAATATGTAATTTACAACAGCTGTAAGATGCTTGAAAAGCTTGAAAATGCACCTTGAAAATGCTTATAAAGTGCTTGAATTTGACTTTGGAAAAGGTGTAAGAACCCTGTATGGGGGAAAATGGATAAATACCGGGACATATGGATTCCAGCAGAATATTTTATGAGATAAAAACATATTATTCATTTTGGAAAGGGTTTAAACAGAGCGAATAAACGTGAATTTAAATGTTGATCAAATTTCACCATCTTAATGAAGCTTCAAACTTCTCTACAAACTAAGAGAAACCTGAAAAAGCTCTACATAACCTGTAAATATTAACAAAGGCTTATCTGTCTTTGTCCTCATCTCTCTGTCACTCTGTCCTCCCCTTCCAGCGCTGCCTATCTGAAATCAGAGTGTCCCTCTGCTGCCCTCTCCTGTCCGTCCGTCAGGATGTATCAGTGCTCCTTAGAGGGCCGCTCCTCTAAACCCAGAGAGAAGGAGGGAGGAGATGCCGCCTCCTCTCACGATACACCTGCAGCTAAACGCAAGAGGACCACTACCCCGGGTGAGATGGACACACAGGCTAGAAACACAACAAACTGTTCAAGGATTCACAGCTCGTGTTAACAGTTAAAGTTGAAAAGATGATCTGTCTTTGATTCACTTTCTCAAGAGATGGGTCAGGTAAGGATCGGGCTGAGTATGCTAAACTAGTGAGAGAATCGCTGACAACTACAACAAAATGAACATATTTGACCTTGATTTAATTGTAATTAGTAACAACATACTGATACCGGTTAGTAAAAACCATGAATTCATGCGTTGACAAGTCTGCAGACAGACGGCAGGCGAAACACCTTTTAAAATGCGTGTTTTCTAAATGGAGATCGGCCAAGCTAACCCAGTATATGCTTCGACCGTCCACACTCACAACAACGGCCTACAGACATAAATAAACCAGCGACTGTATTCTCCATGACACAGACAGTCTGTGGTTTGTAGTTGTTTAACTTTTGTCTAGTTTCTGAACAGATATGAGGAGCTGTGAGCTCTGAGTGCTAACAGCTAACGGCTGATGTTGGATTTGTGGTTCGCATTGAAGATGACGTCACGGCTCCGCCTACACTGCGTTACTATAGTTACTACCCCAGCTACTAAACTGTAATGGAAACGCAGCATAAAGTGAGCCTGGCCTACCAAGGCCTAACTATACCGTACTAAGCCGTGCGAGGCCCTGCAGTGGAAATGCGTCATAAGAGATTATTTTAATAATAATTATGTGAATGGAAGATCGCTTCAACTCCCAAATGTAACTTAATAAGGGCTGCAACCAATATACTTTGGGGAGTTTTTCTTTAGTCTTCTTCCTTTTTTCACAATTTATCACAAAAACAGTGAAAATGCTTATCACGACTTCCACCAAACCTAGATTTTATTTATTTTACATTTGTAACTTGTGATTCAGTTCTTGGAATAAGACCCCCCTCCCGGTTTTCTTCTACCTACAATGGCCTTAGTAAGCCGTTGTAGGGCAGGACTTTGTGACTAAATCTTGTCGGCAATTGTAAAAACCCACACATTTAACAAACAGTTAGTTACTGTAGTTGTCTCCTGTCTCCTCCAGGTTCAGTGGCCAGCTCAGCCAGAGAGTCCTTGTTGGACAGCCTCATTATCCCCAGCACCCTGCCCACCCCCGCCCTCACCTCCACTGCCCAGAGAGTCGGAGCCAAGGAGCGAGCCGCCTCCAGAAAGCCCGGAGTCACAGAGAGTGATGAGGGCAGCGGCTTCACTGAGCCCGAGTCTGAGGATGACTTCTCCATAGGGTCAGTTAATGTGTATCCTTCACATGTTTTCAATATCTACGATCTCTATAGAGAACTGTAGGGATGGCTTTTTCGCGGGGTCTTAAAAAGTATTAAAAGTTGATAAATCAATTTAGCGAAATTTAAGGCTATTAAAAAGTATTAAACGGCATTTTCCAAGGTATTACATTTTGTAGCTTGTTTTCAATAAGTATATAAATTGTCCAAAGAGGTTGTATTCTAAAGTTTGCCTGAATGTAATCATTGCGTAGGTGTGTACTGTGATTCTGTGTAGTTTATTTATGGCATCCCGTTGGATTTGACGTCATCTGAACAGGACATCGCACGCTCACTGCTTGATAGCGCGCGATGGCCCGTTTACGCCGGTTGTTAAACAACATCGTTATGGGGAAATGCAAGTTTGCGTCCAAATGGTTGGAAGATAAGGAGGAAGGACAATCAATACTGTATAATGTAAATGTGAGGTAAAGTGTGTCGCCAATTAGGGCTGTGCGATTATGGCAAAAATCATAATCACGATTATTTGGGTCAATAATTGATATCACGATTATTAAATACGATTATTCATTGACTTTGAAAAAATCCATTTATTGAACTTTAAAACAAATACAAATAATAATTTGAACAGTATCTTTTTAACTGTTGATTACCCTGAACGTATAATTCAACTGAAAAACCAATACAAAAATAAATAAAATAAATGATACATTTAAATAAATAATATCAAAATAATAAATACCAATAAACAAGATCAACAAATATTTTGGAGCGCACTTCCACAAGCTACTAAACATATATAAATACAAATAAATGAGACCAAAATGAATTAGATCAAATATGTTGCACTGTCACAACCTAGCAAAGCAAAATAATTGTTTTTTTCGATTATGTTGTTTTCGTAATTGTGGCAGGTCAAAATCGTAATTGCGATTAAAATACGATTAATTGCACAGCCCTATCGCCAATGTAACCGGTTAAAACTCGAAGTGGCGATAAGGTCTTAAAATGTATGGAAAGGGTCTTAAAAAAGGTCTTAACAGGTATTACATTTGACTTCAAGATTCCTGCATATATCCATTTAAGATGGAAAAAGCTCTGGCAAACAAAAGCTTATGATATTTAGAAGTTTTGTTCAGCAAGATAATCATCAAAACAGAACACCTTTTATTTTTTCGAGGGCTTAAGATGCAACTGTCACATGACTTCACATCAATACCTTCAAATTAAAAGCAGACTAGTGTTTGCCGTGATGACGTTTAATGTCCATGACAACCTCCTTTGCCTCACTTAACCGCCTGCATTTTTATAGTTCATGATTCTGGTATTTACTGAATGATTTTATGTCGTAGAACAAAATGTGAGAATCTCTTTGCGTTGTGTCAACCACAGACCACAGACCTTATTTCAGGCTTCCAACGTAACACCCATCAAAACCAACTCATTGAATGCTGGATGTGCAAAAATATAAACTAATTTCAAGGTTGTAGGATTCATAACCGCAGAAATGTATTTCAACGGTTGGGAAATTACTGCCAGGCTCATGTTAAAGCTGGAAATTATCAACGGCCAATTACTTTCTCCCCGTGTAGCAGCCATTGTTCTCTAAAGGAACAATATGTCCAACGCGCGTGGGCTTCATGATCAGGGAACGTTTTTGAATCACGTCTACACTTCAGTCCAAACTTACTTTCCCTCTATAATTCAAATCGTTTTAACAGCATGAACATTATGGCATACAGTATTGCCAAAGCATTGTACCAATAATGAAATTAAAACATGCTATTCTTACATTTACATTCAGAATACCCTGTTGTGTTTTCTTGAACAAAAGCACAAATAGCATGTTTTCTTTTGAAGGAACATAATGTACTTTTCTTACCTTTTCTCTCTCTCCGGGGGAATACAGTATGTTTAAACATGAAGTTAATATTACGGTTCACTGTCCGCAGCACTCCTATCTGACCCTGTCAATACGGCATCTCCTGTGTAATGTCTTGTGTATGTAACAATTTGCTGTCTTAGGAAGTCATCCTTGCATCCCCCCCCCATTATGTCTTGTTTAGTTGCTTGTTGTTGCGTATTGTGTTGTTTATTCTGTTATCTGGGGCAATGTCTGTGTTTATCTTATAACTGGAAAAAATATATATATATTAAAAAAAACATGAAGTTAATATTAATAAATCCAAGTTAATCCAGACCTCTGAAATTTAGAGCAAGCTCTTGTTCCCACATCTATTTAATAATCAAGTGCGACAACAAACTAACACATCCTATTGTCCAAATTACATTATGTAAGTTCCACTACAGCTGACCTGACTGGGTATATATATGTTATATATATATATATATATATATATGTTCATTTTCATTCATTTCTTATTTTATAGTTATTTACCATTTTTTATTTGTATCTTTGATTTTACCCTTAATCTGTGTGAATCTGTGCTGTCGTCCTGTTTTTCAAATCTTACCCTGTTGCTGTTAAACTACTGAATTTCCCCACGGTGATTAATAAAGGTCCATCTTAATCTTAATCTTATTTTTCTAACAGGATAATACACAGAACACATATAAGCATCTTCCATACAAAATGCTGGTGAGCTCCACATGTAGTATTCCTCCCCCTCATGTTAACCTGCTGCTGTTCAACAGGTCCAGTATGCGCAAGGTGAAGCCCGTCAAGCGATGGAATCTCTCCTCCAGCCAGACCGGCACCTCTCTGGATCAGCGGGACCTGAACTCCAACCTCACCTTGTAAGACTGACGTTATAACGTTAGAGGAGAGTACCAAGAGAAATGTTTAAATATTTAGAAAATGTGAATATATATATCGTGTCTTTCATAGCTTTGATCCGGCAAGAATACATTACATTAAAAATTAACCTTGTTTTCTCCCCAGACTCTCTCTGATTGAGGATGATGAAGAAGGAGAAGAGCCTGAGATTGAGGATGATGAAGAAGTAGAAGAGCCTGAGATTGAGGATGATAAAGAAGGAGAAGAGCCTGAGATTGATGATTATGAGAGTGGCTCCAATCATGAATCTGAATATTCACTGGTAAAAAAACAAAAATGCACTTAAAAGCATTTATTTCCATCACATACTTCTCTTACGATTGATGAGTCTGCTCTAAATTACAGAGCTGAATTTTGATTCAATTCAGGTATTTTCATTCAGTTCAGTAGCAACTTATAATACACTGCTGTAACACTTTGGTGGACTTGATCAGCTGAGCTACAATTGAATGAATGTCTGTAAAAGTGCATTATACTGGTGATTTGTGGAGCTGACTAAGAGCCTAATTAATGGTACATTATGGCGGCAAACAAAATGCATGATTGGGGAACTGTGTAGGAATGGCACTTTGGTTTCCAATGAACATTCCTGTCAAGCTCCAACTTTGTCGTCCTGTTTTTTCTCTGCAGCCCTCCACGCGCCACACCTCTGCCAGCGTCCTCGATGAGCTCTTTGACTGAGGACACGGAGACCTGCACCGCCGGGGGAACAACCGTTGTTTTTCGTTAAAGCATCTCTTCAACATTACTGCTTTTTCTGTGTTCTCAGTACATTTCAGTGTACTAAGTATTTGGGGCATCTGTTCTTCTACATGGCCACTTACCAAGTTCATCTATCAGATTTATTTCAGTCACAAATGTTGTTGGAGGGGAAGAGGAAAAACTAAATGATTATGAGTTTTGGGGGGAAAAGTTGATGCCATTTCACAAAAAATAAAGTTGATGTTTTGAATGAAAATGTTTAAAGGAGTGTTCATTTTCAGTTAGATTCTTGTTGGTTGATTATTGTCTGGCAGCAAGTTAAAAGTATCTCCTGTGTCCCACTTTTTGAAGTTAGGTTCATAACATATTTCACTGTTGTTGACTGTTTTTTTCTTGTGTAACGTTTGTTTATATAATTATTATTAAAAGATCCTTTATTGATAAAATGGTGAGATCACAAGAAAAGATGTGTAAAAACCATAGACTGTATATATAAACAGATGAGATGTGATGCACATGCATGCTTTTAGAGAATGCACAATACATCAACACCTTTTAAACAAGTTCAAATATGTGATAGTATGTATTACTGAAAATAACTAATAACAAGTAAGCTTTGAGTTTTTGTTTCCTTTTAATATCATACATTTAGTAATATGTAATTTGTGAACCAAACAATTACAATTAAACAACCAGAACACAATTCACTGGGTGAAATGTCTACATCAGAAAGTCACTCACACAACAATCCTCAATTACCACTGCTTGTATGTATGTGTTTATTACCCTACAATGATGCTACTCTAAAATAAGAGTGTTACTAATAAATTTATGGCAAAAACAAAAACCTTTACCCCCGAGGTAATTACACTTTCTGCTGACGTTATAAACCTGTATCTTATTTATAAACAGGTATCTGCTTGGAAACTACCCACATGATCAATATGTATACAAGTTAGGACAATAAATATCTGCATTCATTATTATTATGAAGATTGTATAACGTTTGCCTTACAAATAGCTTGAATGCTTTAACGTTTTAAGTTTATTTTGGCCATGACTCGGCTGTGTTTACAAAAGTACTAACTGTTTGAGTTCACTCTGGGTTCACTCTGTAGTACTCTGTATAAAATCCAATCATTGCATTTCGCGCCAATCCTGACTAACAGGGCGGAAGTTTGTAGAGTCACGTGACACGCGAACGCCCTCAACTTTCGCGCCACCACGAAAACCCCGCCTCTCACTGCGGAAAGAAGGCACGCGATTGGCTGCTGGCTACGTCAGACTCGCGCCACTTCTTGCACGGAGACCGGGGAGAACCGCAAGCTGCAAGTGAATGAATACTAGTCTCCGGTGATATTGAAGTAATTAAACCGTACATTTAAACTATATTTGAGTGTGTAGGTATCGTTAGGATTTTGGAATCAAGTTATCTCACCTGAGGGTCAACGTCTGCAGTCATGGCTCGTAAGGATTATGCGGCAGAGAAAGGTAATGTGTTAACTTTCACAATAACGGCATGGCAGCAACAGGTTGGCCCAAGTTAACGGAGCTTAACTTTAAACTAAATATCTTCTTCAAAATGCCTTTTTGAAAACCTACGTTCCTGATTTGTATAATGCAGTGTAGTTGGTAAAAATGCAGCTAATCTGAAACGAGTCGTGTTTGTGCACAAACAATTGAGTAGCCAGTTTGGTTACTTTACCTCTTCGTTTTCCCTCTACACTAACTCCAGTTCATTAGACCACAGCCCATTAAGTCATGCATGTGTATTTTAAAACGTTAGGTGAAAAAAAATCCGGGAAATAAACGTTTAAGTTGCAGTAACTTTTCTCCTAAGTAACTAGTTAAGCATTACCTCTGTTAGACACAGTGAGTGACCCGGATGGATCCGTTTAAACAAAGGAGCAGGCGCCACTATGGAAGCACATGTCCAACAATAACTTTTTGAAAAACGAAGAGGAATTTCTCAAACAACATATTTCGGTTAATATCTAGACATCATTATGAGCATTGTTGTTATTTCATGTGCATTTTTACGATTTAAACTCTCAATACACAACCTCACGACATAAATGCAGTTTAAGAATAATGTGAAGTGTGACGTTAGACATTCACATTCACGTTTTTTAAGTTACTTTGTTCACATTACTTGAAGCATACAATTTAGGATAACGAGCTAATGTTGTTTATTTGGTAAAAAAAAAAGGCTCTTTCTCAATGATAAAAAGGTACACTAGTAAAAAGTCAATAAGTTATACAGTTGCGTACACTCCACGTTTTACCTATCAATATATACAAGGCCAATCACTTTTCAGGACTTTAAGTCAACATTAAATAAACTAAACTGGCACTAATTAACTGCTAGCTTCCACAAGCTACGTTAGCATGCTAGCCGGTTAGCTAGCGGTGTTTCTTGTCAGTTGAACAAGTTAACGTTTTGCTTCTAACTGTTATACAAATGGATGATGGTTAGTCACCTTGTTGCCCTATGCTTTGCTAAGGGATACTTGCTTGAAATGTAGGGGATTGAGTCCACGAAGATTTCGGCACATACTTTATGTAACTGATTAATAAACTAATGGTATTTGTTTTAATGTTAAAGGCACCCCAACGGAAATGCCTAATATTCAAAATTATTACACAACAATTGAATTTGAGTATTAAAATGTGTAACCAACCATGATTTTCTTATTTTATTTAACTCGTGGTTCTGTTACACTGGCATTTTATATCTAATTTGCCTTAAACTTAAAAGGCCATACCTAACAATAAACCGAGAAAATGTATATGTATTTATTCCACTGTACAGTATTTAATTGTACATTCTGTTCTTGTTTATCTTATTCTATTTACACGTATATAGACACATTTATTTATTACTACTATAACTACTATTTATTCCACTGTTCAGTATTATGTTCTTGTTTACCTTATTCTATTTACACGTATATAGACACACATTTATTTATTCCACTGTACAGTATTATGTTTATCTTATTCTATAGACTTCTGCATTGACTTGATCACTTGCCAGATTTAGTTTATTGCATTTTATTTTAAATGTATATCGTTTACTTCTTATGCATTAATTGCACATTGGTCTTGCAACATACTCTGTATTCCTACTGTTTCTTCTTGCACTATTTTTGTTTGTTTATATGTTGTGTATATATATATTTATGTTGCATTGTTGGAGGAGCCTGTGACCTAACAGTTGTATTGCCATAACTACTCTGTAGCTATTGTGCATATGAAGAAAAAGCCTTTGAATCTTATAAGTTTTTTTCTTTGAGGATATGATCCATCAGAAATCTTGGAAGTTAGACATCAAGTCGGCGACATTTTACCGGCTTGGGATTATGTAAATAACGGCTAATATCGACGGACCTGTCCATGTTAGGAACACTCAGCTAACCCGAGCTAACGTTAGAAGATGGCTGGCCCTGCTTTTGAAAACAACAGCCAGGACTATTTTTAAGAGCGGAGGGATACTCAGTGACGAGGCAAAAAAGCCATGTGCTGCTTTGTTTACAATAACATCCTCGAACAGAGAAATAATAAACCAGATGTGCGGATTTTCTGCTAAAGCGACAAAGTAAGTAGTGTTTTAATAATCGCGGCAAGGCTGATTTCATTTCTTGTAACGTGGAATTAAATATTGTTAGTAGATGTGGCTCTTTCGAGAAGTGAGGGATGTTTTTCTCAAAGGAAAAAAAAATGGACCCTGAACTGAGCGCGCCTGTTGTTGTATTTACATTATTTCACCGAAGAAATCTGCTGCGTAATTGTCGGGTATTTCACTTTAAAACTTTGATAGTAGGTACACACGAATGGAATTTGGTTCATGTATTACAGCAGAGGCAGTTTGCGCTCTAATGAAGGCAATAGTGACTCATCGAGATTACAGGATGCCATGTTACTCAACAAAGGGGTCGTCGCAGGACAACAAATTAGCTTCCAGGCCCAGTGGTGGTGGTGGTGTTGTTAATCACACATTTATACTCAGAAAAGCAGCTTTAATATATAAGCAAATTAAAAGATAACCCCAGAAAACAATTCTCGGTTTGAATAATATACTGTATGGTGGGCAAACAAATCTCCACCTGGTGTTTACTTGATGTAGCCTGTTTTGATTTTTTTGCTGTGAAATAATTCTGAAGATTTTTCTTTTTGCAGACAAATGCAAAAGGGTCCTGCAGGAGTTTTATTCTGAAGATGACAATGGGAAGAAGGTGTTCAAATATGGAGCTCAACTTGTAAGTAGTACATTTATATTTCTTATTTTGATAGTAAATTAATGTTCAAAAAAGATTAAATAGTATTTTAGCACCTCAAACAACTACTTTTCTGTTTCTATATTATAATAAACTGATGTTATCTTTAGATCTTTGACTAATAACCGAGATGTTTCAAGACAAAACCTTTGACTTTAAGGGACAGGGAGGGGAAATGTTTGCTTATATATATATATATATATATTTTTTTTTATACCAAACAATTGATCAATCTAAACAGCAGCTTAAGCAATAAATAAAATAATCATGAGTTGCCGCCACAAAAGCTTTAGGAAGTGGCTTTTTCCCAGAATATAGATTTGGACATTATCATTAATTTAAGTGGAGAAGCAAGCTCAAATTAAATGGATCAACTCGTTATCTTTTGCCTTTAATAGTTTAGCAACCATTTTGTCCTAATGTAATTTCTGAAAGTATTGATTAATCTAATTTCTTCAAAACTAAAGGAAGAAACGCCTCAAGCAGCAAAATGGTATTAACTGATAACTTGGGGGAATCCATGTGGCTTGGGTGTTAAGAACCTGACACATACTTTTTTACCACATTATAAACTCATACTTATCACAGTTTCAAAGTGTAAAGGTGTCATTGAGCCTTATCTGTGCATAAAAGCTCATTTTAATGAAGTGGCTCATCATGTTGTCTGTTCACAGGTGGCGCTGGCCCACAGGGAGCAGGTGGCTCTCTACGTGGATCTGGACGACGTGGCCGAGGAAGACCCCGAGCTTGTTGAGAGCATCTGTGAAAACACCAAGCGCTACATGGACCTGGTCGCTGACGCCGTCCACGAACTGCTGCCAGAGTACAAAGAAAGAGATGTACGTGTAAATGCACAGTTGAGCTTTTATGTTTTAAAGGATAAAAGCATGATTAGACCAGCTGTCTCAACAAAGGCCATACATCTGTCAAGTCACATTATCTAACACTTAATTGTTCTTTTTGTAAATTGGATAATAAGTTGTGATGTTTTAAATGGCTTATTTTTAAAAGGTTAAGCTTATCTGTTACTAGCATAATGTCAGATAATATGTTAAATATGAACAGCTGGTAAAACACAGGGACAACCTACATTAGCTGCGCTTGGTATAAAACTGTTTATACACATTATTTTTTACCAATTTCAT